ATAATAATAATAATAATAATAATAATAATAATAATTCCTCTCAAGGGTTGGCCTCTGGGCAAAAAGCGCTTCTAGCAAACCGTTCTGGCCTGGGGGTACTTTTGGTCCTGCCCAGCTCTGGAACGAGGGTGCTCAGGTCGGAAGCGGTTCAGCCTGCGGCCTCGGCGGATCCTGGGGACACGCCTTTGCTTGCCCCTCCCCACAGGGTGAAGGCCGCGGACCTCCTCCTCCTCGTCTTCGATGCTGAAGAGGCTGCCCGGCAGCCGGACCAGCTGGCCCACGCCTTGCAGGACATCTTGCTGCCCGACGGGCCAGAAGGGAGCCGGCCGTATCTGCTGGTCCTGAACAAGACGGACCTCCTTGGAGAACGGGGCCGGGCGGATCTGCAGGGGGCCTGCACCCGTCTGGAGCTGGCTCCCGCCTGCTTGCTCTCCTGCAAAACCGGAGACGGGATCGTGGCCTTCCTGCACGTGTTGGAGGAGCAGCTGGCCCAAATGTGAGGACAGGAGATGGGGAAAGCCAGCCTCTGGCCATGTGCTGGACTGGAAGTGCCAGCATCCTCAGCCAGTGTAGCTGGGGGGGCATGCTGGGGCATAGAGTATCAGCACGTGGCTAGAAGCAGATACTGGGAGACACTTGAAAGCATGGTGAGCTGGGGATGCTGGGACTGTGGGGAACCCTGGCTGCGCATGGATGGAATCGTAACCAGGTTGCAGGTGTTTCGGAAAGACGTGCAGGGGGGCCTCGTTCACGCAGCACCTGGCCAAACGACGCGACTCCCTTCCGTGCGATGTCGCAGCAGCCACCGATTCAGGGGGCTTTCAAAGGCGAGTGCACAAATTCACAGAGGAGGTGGCTATCACAAGTTCCTAGTCCTCATGGCTCTCTGCACCTCGCGCCCTCCCCCCGGTATCAGAGGCAGGCTGTTTGTGTAGGCCCATTGCTGGGGCTTGGAACACCTCTCCTGCTTCTGGTTTCTCTTTGGGGCAGCTGGTGGGCCACTGGGGTTGGGGCACAGAAACATGTGCAAGAGGGACCCCCAGCCCGACCCAGCAGCAGTTCTGGCTCAGAATCGCTCGAGCACAACACCGGTACGGTTAGGCGCATACCTCCATAGGTGCCTTCCCAGGGCTGTTACCGGCCCGGGCAGTATACTTTGGAACAGGGCAGGATCCGTCACCCACCCAGATGCTTTAGCCCACGTTTCTCCCTGATTGGGCCCACAGGTGCGGCGACCCCCTGGCTGGCTCCCCCAGCCCCACGCAGGCCCGCCACCGACTCTGCCTGACCAAGTGCCTGGAGGCCCTGGGACGCTTCGGCCACTACCAGCCGCTGGACCTGGCCCTGGCCGCCGAGGAGCTGCGGCAGGCGCGGCGTCAGCTTGGCCGCCTGACGGGGCAGGTGGGGGCCGAAGAGATCCTGGAGCTCATCTTCAAGGACTTCTGCATCGGCAAGTGAAGGTGGCCGTTCTTGGCCACAGAGCGGTGCCCCCTGGCTGATGGGCACTGCAAAGGGATTTTGACAAGGGCAGGGGGAAACTCCTAAGTTGCCAGTCCTCATGGGGCATGGTGCCCACACCACATTTCTAGTTTTGAACCTCAAAAACAGATGAACACCAATGTCTCACTGGCTGCTTTGGCAGGCGTGAAAGATTTCTTTGGAAATGTAATAAAAGTAGTATTCTTTATGGTGAATAGTCAGTTCCTTCATTTATTGCTCACCTGTGGCTATGAGCGCATTGTTTCTGAGCAAACAGGGCCCTGCTCTGCATGGGCTGGAGTGTCTCTATGGTGCTTCTTAACCCAAACTCTTTAACTGAAACAATTTCCCATTAAGATGCATGGAGGCGGCCTTGCAGGCTACAAGACATGGCACAAAAGGAAAGAGGAAGTGGAGGGAGGAGGAAAAAGCAGCCAGACTCAGGAGCCCCTTCTCCGTTTCCCTGTTCTTAGAGGGGTTTGGTTGGGCAGGGCGAAAATGGGAGAGGGAACAGCTCATGGCCTGAGACAGGAAAACCTTCTGGCCATCCAAGTCGCACGGGCTGTCTGTCCATGAGAGGCCCCTGGCGCCCAGTGTTGGCAGCTGGAGGCACGGGGCCAGCCCACCCAGCGCAGGCCAGGGCAGCATCGGCACCCCGCCTGCGTGATGGGGGCTCCCAGCAGAGAAGCCAGGAACTGGGCATGTCCCCAGAGGAAGGACAGTTGTGAGCGGGGGGGCGGGGGCACCCAGGAAGGCAACTACCTGCAGCAGGAGACCCAGGCAGGGCGCGCAGGTGTGGAAGGGACCTACCCGGCTGAAGCGGGGAGCAGGGAAGGGCCCGCTCTTACGCGGCCCTCCCGCGGGCCCGCAGCTGGCGCTCATCCGGAGGCGGGCCGGGACCGATCCTGCCGGCGCTCCAGCGGCTGTTTCGCTTCTGGCCACCAGGTGGCGCCCCAGAGCCGGCAGACCCGCGAGACAGGCGCTGCACAACCCCCACGGGTGTCTGTCCTGCCCTGGGGGCGTCCAGTTGCCCCCGCACCTACCCATTTCCCCGGCTGGAAACCAAATAGCCCGCGGGGCTAGGCGGCCCGTGCGCTGCAAGCTGAGGGGGGTGTGTGTGGGGGCGTGCTGCCTGCTCGTCCCGCTGCAAAAGGCCAGGGGCTCCTCGGGAGTAAGCACGCGGTCCGCGCCCGGGCGGGGGGGCGGGCGTGCGGGGATGCTCCCTGGGCGCCTTCCCCGTCCTGCGGGTCCATGGATCGGGGCTCCCGCGGCACTGGCCGGGGGGCGGAGGAAGGGGCCCCCAGAGCCAGCACCGGGCGGGGCGCCCCCTCTCCGCGCCCAGCTGCAGAGGGGATCTGATTCAGAAAGGAAGCCGCAGCCTGGACGTTTCCTCCCAGGGCCGTCCGGCCGCTTCGGGGGCGTCGCCGGGAAGCGCTTCCTCCCTGCGCGGAGGACCCAGGCGTCCGGCTGCCACCGCCGCTGGGCCCGCGCGGGCTGCTCTCGCGCGGCCCGGGACTGGACCCCTGTGGCTTGTCCTGGTGCCTGCGATGGGCCGGAGGGGCCACAGGGCTGTCCCTTCCCGGTGGGCGAGGCTGCGAGTCGGAGACCGGCCAAGCCCGGGAGTTTCATGGCCCCGCAGGGACCGGAACGCACGTGCACGCCCTCAGGGCTGCCTCTTAAGCGGCCTGCAGATGATGGAACTTGGAGTTCAGCCCACCAGGAAGACACCTGGTTAGGGAAGACCAAGTCGTGGGCCAGCCAAGTCAACATCCCTTTCATCTTCCCCAATTTTAGAAACATCCATCCTATTAAAACACGTTACACGATTTCTGGCTGACCCTTACGATACCCTTGCAAGGCGGGCCATCGGTGTGGGCGTCCCCAAATGGCAAATCGCAGATAGGCTGCCTGCTTGCGCAGCAGATGACCTTCACGCCACGGTTTTGCTGGCTCCCGGCTCGCAGACTTACGCACCACTCTGGCTCTCATGAAGGAACAAAGGGGGGGGGGGGGAGGCCGGTGTGAGGCTTGTGCTACAGCCTTGCAGGCTGACCTGTACTTTCCTTCTGGGCAGGAAACAGACCCTTGTAAAACATACTTTAGAGTGTCCATGAAGGACACTTTGGGGACTCCTTCAGTGGAGCCACCCCCCCTTCTTCAGGGCCGTGCCCGAAGTCCTATCCCATAATGCACTCTGGGTTTTGTCCCACTACCTTAAAAAAAAGATGAAATGGCCCATGACAAAGCCTGGGAGGGCAGTGATGAGTGGCTTGAAAGGAAAAGGGTGGGGAGACCAACCCCCCCCTCCCCAAACTCATGGAAATCCATTCCGTGGCCAAGTAACTGTGTACAAATATTCCAGGCAAACAGGAAGCAGTTACAATGGTGCAATGATTAATGAACTCTAAGACGACAGATGATGTTTCTTTCCCTCCCCCTGCCCTCCCCTGGCCAAGATCCCGAAGCCGCATCCTCAGGGGGTCAGCCCCTTCTTCTGTGTGGGCAGAACAGAGTTTTGGCAGAGCAGGCCTCATTTCGAGACCGCCAAGTGCCGAGCCCCCCAGGAGTGGGGCCGGGCTATGAGGAAACCTGCTAAAAGGAGGGTGAGCACCCGGAGGAGGGCCTTCTCTGCGGTGGTGCCCCAACCTATGGAATGCGCTCCCCAGAGAGGTCCGCCTGGAGCCATCATTATTTGTTTTTCGGCGCCAGGCGAAGACTTTTTTATTCAAATGTCATTTTAATTGTTAATAGTATTTATTCATTTTATTCTTTGGCCAGGGCGACTTAATTTATACTGTTAATTTATATTATTTTAAGGAAGTTTATTTATGGTTGTGAGCCGCCCCGAGGCTTCGGCGAATGGGGCGGCATAGAAGTCCCCTAAAGAAAGAAAGAAAGAAAGAAAGAAAGAAAGAAAGAAAGAAAGAAAGAAAGGCCTCTCCCAGGAAGGAGCCTTGCCTCTCAGCTTTGCTGAAAGATGACATGCTTCTCTACCCTCCTCATTCGTTTTTCCTCATGTGCCGTGCTTCTCAGAGCGTAAGCCTGTGGGCACAGCGATCCGGTTCGACTGGTGGTCTGGCTGCCACGCTGGGAGACTCGGGGGTGAGCGGCAAGCCAAAACCCGGAGCCCTAAATCTAGGGGGCACTGACAGCAATGCACACCTGAGTGTGGTTAATGGTCGGAACGTGGCTTGAGCTGTCCTGTTGTCTGAACCCAGACACAACTACAAGCATGGCCTGCCGGCCAACCGCAAGCCAACAGTCTCCAGGAACCGGTGCAACTCGTCTGGGTCCCGCATGCCCGGCGGGGCTCAGCTGGGAGCGTGCAGGTCACGCGCGTTCCGGCGAGAAGCCACGGTCCGTGCAGAGCCGCGTCCAGCCCTTGGGTGGCGCTCTTGCGTCGCCCGAACAGCCCATGATGGCGACGCGGCTGGCTGGTTGTTTATTCCCTTGACGCGAGAGGAGTTTTGCTTCCGAGGAGCACGTGTTCCTGCGCACGTTGCCAGGTGAATGTGCATGTGAGAGTGTGCGTATGCGCGCCTTATCTGATGGCAACATGAGACCACCGCTTCATGTGGGAACAATAAAGGTCAGAGGGACCCTTTCCTGATCAGCTACCAGGAATAAGCGCTCCATGCAAAATATTGATGGCAGAGGACGGACTCTTAATGAGGACTGGCATTTTTCCTCTTTAAGGCTCGCTCTGGCTTCGAAATTCTAGGAAAACAACTACGTAGCTGAAATTGGCTCTTCCTGTTTGTGGTTTTTGTTTAATCCTTTAAAACCAAAGCATCAAGTGCTTGTTGTTGCTACCAGCTCCACGGGGAAATTTTATTTTGTTTTGGCAAAACAAAGTACTCAGGTGGTTTGTTCTGTAAAGTCATACATAATCTCTCCTTTGTCTGAACGTGTCAGAGTGCCCAGGCTCACCCAGCTTGGTGCTCCTAAGCATGCACAGGACTGCGTAATCCTTCTGGGAATGATGGGCATTCAGCTGCAAGACATTTCCGGGGCATTTGGGTTGGATAGGCTGGGCCCAAGTATAATGGGTTAAGAGAATGCCTCCCTGGGCTCGTGCAGAGTGGGTCTCTTGTCCCACGGTGATGGTGCTGGTGATCTGTGATTCTCCACCCAAGGCCTTGGTGTGCTGCCTGGTGGCCCTTTTTTTCAGGCCTATTGAGGGAGGTGGGGAGCTGCTTTGGATGCTGTGCAGGGGGCAGAAGTACTCAGAGCTAAGGATGTAATCTCCTTGGGGCAGAAAGGGTTCAAGGACCCCTTGAATATTATTGGATATTATCATAATTATTGTATAATCATATATTTGTGAGCCGCCCCGAGGCTTCGGCAAATGGGGCAGCTTAGAAATTTTCTAAATAAATAAATATTAATAATAAACGCAGTGCTGTATAATATACATGTTATATAATTATAAGAATTATCATAAGAATAATGCAATAAATATTCCTCCTCCTCCTCCTCCTCCTCCTCCTCCTCCTCCTCGGTCTGCTGGAGCAGTGAGTTTCAGGATGGGTGGCCATCGTGTTAAATCTGCACAAATGCAGAGTAGCCAGTAATTAGCCTGTGGGCTCTTTTCCCCCAGCAGCTCTCGCTCGTTCCTGCCTCGAAAGAAGTCTGGGGAAAGGCTGCTTTTCCCAAGACGCACGGCCCAGCATCCGGCAGGTTATACGATCAGGAAATGGCGCTGGCAACTGAACGGGGCTGACGTTCCGGCATTCCCAGAACTGGGCTGGATTGAACTTCCAAGAAGCTCGCGCAGCGTCGTTCCTTCCTGGGCATCCGGCCCACGTCTCCTTCTGCAGCCCCTCTGGCTTGCACCTGGGGTCGGCTGGCGGAGGGCCTGTACCCCCTCTGGGGCCCCAGACAAGCCTCCTCTTCTCGGCCACAACCCGCTGCTCCTTGCCTCTTGCTCTTGGCTGGGCAAGCGGGTGAGGAGCTGCCGGGGAGGCCCGGGCGGCTTGCTCCTTGGCTCTCAGGGCCGGAGAGGGAAGGGGAGTGATGGCCGGGGGTGGGGGGCAGAGGGCAGGCTCTTGGGGGCCTTGCCCCAAACCAGCAGCCGGCCCTGTTTGCAGTGTGTCGCTTGTGCACACCTCCGACACGCCTGCGTGATGAGAGAGGCTCCCGTATCGCTACCCTCAAGCCCCCTGCAGGAGCCCCCCCAGAGCCCCCGGGACCCTTGGGGGCCCAGGCAAGGGCTCGGCGCAGTCAGCCGGGACGCCCCTGCGGAGTAGCGAACGCGCGTCTGAGCGTCCTGTTGAGTCCTCCGCTGCTTCGTTCTTGCATCCCAGAAGCGGAGCCAAGAAGGCCCCCTGCGCAGGGCAGGACACGCCAGGGCTGTGTGGTGGCAGCCTTGGCACGCCGAGGCCGTCGCACGCTCGCGTGCCGGCCCCGTGCGGGCGACAGGGACGGGGGGAGCTGCCGCAGCCTGGGGTGGCGGGGTGCCTTTTCGGAGATGGCCGCCCATTCTCAGGCAGCCCTGACTTGGGCGGCTGCCCCCCCCCAAGCCCAGGGCTGTGGACAAAGGGGTGCTCTCGCCTTCGAACGGTGGAAGGACGAGCACTTCACACTGGGGGAATAATTGCATACCAACCGTGCAACGGGTGCGGGGGTGCACTGCTCTCTCGATCCCTGAATGGACTCGGCTTTGCATTGCCCGAAAGACAGCTCTGTTTGCTTGTTTCCACAGGCTTGTTTTGTTGAGACTTACCACAGAAAGTACATTTCTGAACGAGCAAAGGGTAGTGAGAGGCCACCACGGGGAGCCGGCTTCTGTTTTGGAGGGATGGTGAAGGCAGGTTTTACCTTGGAGGCTGCTACAGGTCAGTTTAAAGGGTCTTTCTGTCGGGTTTATTTTTCCTCCAGAAAAGAAGAGGCAAGCTAACCTCACTTGCACGGGGAAGCTTCTCTCTCCCTTCTCTGGACTGCCTGGAACTGGTTTCGGATCCCCTCACCCTGGTGGCTGGAGTGCCCAGAAAACTGAGGTTTTCCCACTGAGGTCTAGTACCTTGGGATATTATAGCATAAACCTGTTTGGTATGGGCTTCAGCCCTAAAAGCCTGGGAATATTTATACTTTCAATAACAGGGGAAAAAAAGCTTGTTTGTCCTTCCCTCTGAAGTGGAGGGAGGGTGGGGGGAGGGGGGGCGCTGAATGTACATTAATGGCTAATGTTCCTGTAACAGGTTGGTTCTCCGCTGCCCGTCCCTCCCCACAGAAAACTCCATTTCCTCTGCAATCAGATTAGAAGAGAGACATAAAAAGCAACTGCATCAAAACCGAGGAATAGCTCTCGCCCGCTCTTTGCTGTCGCTTGTTTTCGTGCCGCGCTTATAGCCCTCTGGCTTCCAGAGCATACAATTTTGCAGGCTGGAATTTTAAGAGACCACCTGATCCTTCTCTGATGGAAACATAATTTAGATGGAGAAAAAACATGACCCCTGCATTTGCACGATCCCATCAAAAGACTCTCCACCACCCCGTGGTGGTTTTGTTTCCAGGAGTGGACAGTCAAGAGACCCACTGGCAGAGGGGCCTGCAGGGTTGGACCCATGGTGCAAGCAACCCGATCTCGTCTGCCCGGGAGAGTTTCCTTCACCAGAAGCCCTAAGCTGGGAATGTGCCCCCTTCTTGTAGAAATGGCATTGGTCTTCTTCCCCCACAGAGTCCCAATTAGCACGAAAAAGGGAGGCAATACCCAGTAGAGACTTAATGCATTTATTTTGCATGCAAAAGTGCTCAGCAGTGTGGCTGATGCCCTAAAGCAGAACTGACGAAAAGCAAAGGCACGGGCATGGTCTTTAGAGGTTACAGATGGGTAAGCAGTCTGAACCAGGCCATCTAGTCTGACCCCGGCTCCAGCCAGCTCTGCTCATGACATGCCCACCATGTGGACGTCCAGCCTGTCCTTGAACACCCGCACCAATGGGGCCTCAGCCACCTCCCGTGGAAGCCCATTCCACACCCTCAGGGTCCTAACCATCAGGAAGGACTTCTTGGCATCCACACTAAATCTTGGCTCCCTGAGCTTTGCTGTTAGAGCACATCCTGTCTTCCTCCACAAGGGAGAACAGGTCTCTACCCACCTCCGTGTGACACCCCCTCACATACCTGTATGTCGCCAAGAGATCCCCTCGGAGTCTCCTGTTCTCCAGGCTGAAGAGACCCAGTTCCCTCAGTCTCGCCTCATACGGCTTCCCCTGCAAACCGGCCACCAACCTTGTGGCCCTTCGCTGCACTGACTCCAGCCTGGCTATATCCTTCCTGGAACGAGGGGCCCAGGACTGAGCACAATTCTCCAGTTGCAGGCGCACCAGAGTCATGTAGAGGGGTAGTAACACCTCTCTTGATCTGAAAGCCACACTTCTGGCTATGCAACCAAGGGTGCGTTCGCCTTCTTGGCCATCAGATTTGATCATCAGACTACACCCTCCCTCTTCCATGTCATTGATGAAAAGATTAAACAGGATCAGCCCCAGGACAGAGCCCTGGGGGACCCTGCTTGTCACTGGCCGCCATCCCAGTGATTTCCC